GAGACAGGGGCAGGCATGGTCTAGGCATGTGCCCGGCAGGCGTTCTGGTCGTGGTATTTTCCAGCAGACGTTTAGGTAACGATTAATATTGGGAATCGTTACCGTGACATCGCCCTAGTATATGTGTTGGGACAACTTTGAACGTTCCATATCAAACCATTAACTAATTGACAAAGATTTTTATGGCGTCATCCAGATGTGCTGGAATGTGTTCAGGAATGTCGCCCTCGTTCAGACAACGTACGTTTTCCTTAGTGAACAACCTTCCGCTACCCGCCAAAACTTCTCTAGAAAATATTGCGCCTGATGGCCACATATCCGTATTTTTTCACGCGAATACCTACCAACTCATGGCGTCCATGTAATGACGGACGCATATGCAGTGTCCCTTCACGCTGATTTGCGTCGAATTAGTAGTGTTTCCGTTTTACAAATCATTGTTTATACCTCAGTAATGAACAAAAAGCAGTCTTAGTAACTTTTTGTGACTTCTGCAAAGTTGATTTGACACTTGTTCTCCTTATGAGTGAAGTTCATTTGTCATTTCTTCAGCCTGAGTTTCTATTGCTTGCTATGGGGAACTTCTAATGAGAGTACTTGAGCTCTACATTTAAGTTTGTACTTTCGCCCTGTGTTGTTGAATGGAAGTGAAAAAATAGTCGCTTATTCGTCCTGATACATGTCTTGCAGTTCAATCCACATGGCGCTGAGTCATCCTCTGACTTTCGTAGACAAAATCGATGAAGATGCCAACATGCTAACATTTCGCATGATTTGCTTTCCTTTATGAGTCACCATCGTATTCTGCTTAGTGAAATCATCTGCGAGTAAATGCTTAGTGAAATCATTTGCAAGTAAAATTAGTATTTTTGGATACACTCCTATCCTTAAGAGGCTTTTGATACGAACTTGATGAAAATGCTTGTACTATCTGACTTTATCATGAGTTATTATTTCGCGTCGGCAAAAGTCAGTAGATTGTGTCAACATCTAGGCTTTGTTGCCACTAAATCCAAAATATCAATACGTCAAATCAGTTTAGTGTTTTCATCGCATAAGAACTAAAAGCTTTCTTAGTAAGTTTTTTGTGACTTCTGTGAAGTTGATTTGTCATTTGTTCTGCTTATGAGTGAAGTTCACTTGTCATTTTAGCCTGAGTTTCTATTGCTTTCAATGGGGAACTTTTAATGAGGGTGCCTGAGCTCTATATTTATGTTTCTACTTTCGCTTTGTGTTGTTGAATTGAAGTGAAGAATAGTTGTTTATTTGTTCTGATACATGTCAGCAGTTCAATCCATATGGCGCTGAGTCATCCTCTGACTCTCGTAGAAAAATCGATAAAGATGCCAGCATGTCAACCAGGGTCAAGCTTGTGATGCGACTGTCGCAACGGCGGGTCGTAAAGGGTTGAACCAGAGTGCGCGGCGCACGGGCGTACGTGACGTACACAGCGTAGCGCGGTATATTTCATCATAGGAGCGCACGCGGCGTACGCTGCGTACGCCGCGTACGCAGCGCAGTCTGGCTCAACCCAAAGAGGGTACATAAGGTGGGGGGGGGGTCGTAAGAGAAGGCAGTTAGGCTAAAATACCCTAAGCTTAAAAGGAAATCAAAAAGCAGATAATTAGTTATGTTCATTACAATAAATCTATAAGAAAGTTAAAATCAGAATAAAAAAGATAAAAAATCTGTAGAAATTCTCAAAAAAACATTTACAAGAGCTCAAAACACTTTTGAAGGGTGTACGATTTGATAAAAATGCTAAATGTACCGATTGCCCTGGAAATCTTGCTTCTGAAGCCCTCCTGAAGTCTCACACACTCGACAAAAGCGAGTATCTTTACCAGCTGTGACCATCATAAATTTCTAAATCTTTTTGTATGGCTCAATTTCTTCTCACGACAGGTTTTTATAGCAACAATTTATTGTGCTGCCTAACGTTTCGGCGGATACGCCGTCCTCAGAGGCCTGAAAGTGAGTCAATCACTTGTATCAAACGTATTATGCCATCAAATGCCTCGACCGACTCGCACGTTTGACTCGTCCAACGCAACCGCAGTCCAGCGTCCAAGCTCGATCAACTTACCAAGACTCCCAGAGAAGAGCACGATAGAGGCTCTTTAGGTCGCCTACAGTGGACGGTAACAATAAACAGTCCAACTGGTTTGGACATGTTTAAATAGCTATAGGCTATCGAAATCACAAAATGATAAGAATGAACAAGAATGAACAGTTGTCTGTGACGAATGATCTGAAGCCGTTCTTATCACTTTGTGATTTCGATAGCCTATAGCTATTTAAACATGTCCAAACCAGTTGAACTGTTTATTGTTACCGTACACTGTAGGCGACCTAAAGAGCCTCTATCGTGCTCTTCTCTGGGAGTCTTGGTAAGTTGATCGAGCTTGGACGCTGGACTGCTGTTGCGTTGCAAGAGTCAAACGTGCGAGTTGGTCGAGGCATTTGATGGCATAATACGTTTGATAAAAGTGATTGACTCACTTTCAGGCCTCTGAGGACGGCGTATCCGCCGAAACGTTAGGCAGCACAATAAATTGTTGCTATAAAAACCTGTCGTGGCAAAGAAGAAATTGAGCAATGCTCAACATTATGCTAAGGTTTAAAGAAAGGAGAACTTTTGAGTTTCTTTTTGTATGATTTATCTGCACTTTGGAGATGCTCCGTTACATCAGTGCAAAATTTGGTGTTATTTTGTCAACTGTGGATTTTCTTATAATTTTATGTATGGTAGCAAAAAATCAGGAAAGAGGGGTCGTATCTGGGTCGCATCGAAATTTCTTCGGAGCTATTGAAGCTTGTTGGCTGCATTTCTGCTGTAATATGACGCCATCCTCCTACCTTCCCTCATAAAAATTGCAGGCTGTTTTATAACTTCTCTGGTAAGTTACAAAATTTTAAGCTCAAAAATCCCGGTTTTTGCTTTTTAGGATCGCATCTAAATTTGCGAGAGTCGCATCTAAACTTTTTCGAGCTTACTGATCCTCAAAAGCTGAAACTTTTTCTATGGATAGTCTGGGCATTATACTACAGAACCTGTGCCTTGCAGCTTCTCAACCTTTTCCTGGCCTTAGTTACGAATTTTCAAACCATCGTGCTCATGCACGTTTTTGACGTCGTTCTGGACGGCGCTCAAAAGGTTTTTTTCGCCGGAAAACTGTGGAAGAGGTAGGAAGTAAGCTTCTTAGTCAAAAACATCCTTTGTAGTTCAAGACTGTCATCTTTTTCTCCGTGCAAAAATTTGTGTCGCCTACGGGAATCGCATTTGCTGGTCTGAAATATGCCTGAAAATTCAAAAAAAAACTTGCAGATCTTCAAACATTAATGAAGGTGTGTATGTGTGCTACAGATGCTGGGCGCACCCAATGGCCTAGAAATTCTGCTTCCAAAACCCCACTGAAGTTCTCACGCAGGTGTTTCTTGAGATTGACATTCGTTTATGCAGGTTACCGCGAGGAATGTGGGTAGGGGAGGTAAGGGGGATAAATGGAGGAGGGTGGTTGGAGGGGGAAGGGGAGGGGGGGGGGGGTCGTACGGATGGGTACCTTCAAGGGGGGGGGTCGTAAATGAGGGTCCTGGATCGCATCAACACGCTTGACCCTGATGTCAACATTTTGTATGATTTGCTTTCCGTTTTGAGTCACCATCGTAGTTCGCTTAGGAATTCAACTACGAGTGAAAATACTATCTTGGATACACTCCAATCATCAAGGGATGTCTCATACGAACTTGATGAGATGTACTTTCTGACTTTATTGTGAGTCACTATTTCGTATCGGCAAAATTCAATAGATTGTGTCGTCATGTAGACTTTCACTAATCATCTAAAGCAACAGGTCGAATTAGTTTAGTGTTTCTGTTTCATAAGTCACCGTGTATAGCTCAGTAATGACTGAATTGAACTACAAGCTTTCTAAGCAACTTTCTTTGTGACTTCCGTAAAATTGATTTGTCATATGAGTTTGTGATTTTATGTAGAGTTCACTATCATTTCTTTGACCTGGGTTGCTATTGCTTGCTATGAGGGACGTCTAATGAAAGTGCTTGAGCTTCTATATTTATGTATTGTACCTTCGCCTTTTGTTGTTGAACTGAATTGAAAACTATTTATTATTTGTCCTTATACATGTCGTGCAGTTTAGTCCATATGGCGCTGAGTCATCCTCTGACTTTCGTAGGAAAATCGATAAGGATGCCAGCGTGCCAATATTTCGTACGATTTGCTTTCTTTTATGAGTCCCCATCAACAAGAAAGTAGCAGAGATAGTATTTCGCTTAGTAGAATCAGCTACGAGTAAAATTACTACTTTTGGATACACATCGATCATTAAGAGGCATATCATACGAACTCAAAGAAAATGTATACTCTTTTATTAGTGTGATAAGTCAGATGTTTCATAAAAAGGAGGACTAGACAGTTTTGATCAACATTTCAGTGTTATTATATGTATATTATAGCGAGTGGTTTCATGTGTCTTCGATCCGCAGTTTTGTGTTATTTTCCTGTATGATTCACTGAATGTTCTACTTAGAGTGCACAACATTATATTTGTATGAAGCCAAGGGTGTGTGCCAAGCTGATCTCGAATGTATTTAGGTCAAAATGACCTATCGATTCTGGCGTTTTTATTGTACAGTTGGCAAAGTCAAATTGGGTCAATATAACGCCGCTCACGGTACGAACATTCTAGTGGTGCAAGAAAAAACTTTAAAGGCAGTGTCCCACCAGACTGAGGGTATCTGGCTCTCGTAATAATGTAATAGTAGACCCCCTACGTAAGCGATGACTGAAGTTCGGAGCGAAAAAGGGGGTCTACAAAGCCTGAAATTTGCTCCGAAAGTAGGCCGAATCTTACGGTAGGATCGGGAGAGTGCGAGGTGCATGCAAGATAGAGACGCAGAGTGGTTGGGGGTCCTTGCGCTCATGATGTGCGCGCTGTACGCACTCTGGCCCTGCAAATCGATATTGCCGTGTGGGCGGCGTTCAGCCCTACCGTAAGATTCGGCCCACTTTCGGAGCAAATTTCAGGCTTGGTAGACCCCCTTTTTCGCTCCGAACTTCAGTCTTTGCTTAGGTAGAGGGTCTACTATTACATCATTACGAGAGCCAGGTACCCCCAGTCCGGTAGGACGCTGCCTTTAAGGGAAACTGATCAAAACTGATTATGGTAAGTTTTATTGAGGTTTATGTATGTCTAGGGAAATCGGAATATTTTCAACTTATACTTACGCAATAAAATCAAGGCGAAATATGCCGAGGCCGGTGCGAAGGAGCCTGAGATACGTATCAAAAAAGCCAAGATCGAAATCGATGGCTTAGGAACTGTGAGTTGAAGTGGAGTTTTGATTCCAACTCTGCATTTTCTTATTCCAGTTTGACGATTGTTCTATCGTTAAGACTAAAGTGGGATTCTCACGATTGGATGGTGCACCATTTGAGGAATTGTTAGATTTCAAACTCCAGAAGGAGTACAAAGTAGGTGTACACGGCTTTGGGTATCATTATTCATGTAATGAGTATAAACATTCTTCCTAAATTTCAGGAGGGGACTATGCATATCGGAGAGATACAACTTCCTGGTTTGGAGAATAAGGAAAATCAAGCGCCCGGTCCTTCTTATTCTGAAGCTGCAGTAAGTGTTTGAATGGATGTTAAATATACTTGATGTATTAGGTTGTTCGGAAATTAATGCCCGTTTTGAATTTCAACCGCAATAAATCATACACTTCTCACTTTTAAATAGGCTGCAAAGTATCATTCGATAAAGCAAAGCAAACTCTACAAGATGGCGATCTTGACTCTGCAACAGCTCTCATCCACCTCGAGTTTCAAAATATTAGGTTGTAAAGAAAGTTCCCGGGCAATTGCAAAATTTTTTTTCAAATCGCTGTAACTTCAAGCAGGTTGGTTCTTTTTTGACTACAAACTTCATTGCAAAGACAATTTTGTCCAAAACATATATTTGTCTTGCTAGCTTCTCAGCGCCTCACTGCGGTCCACCAGCATGCGCAGAAGGGAAAAAGGTCGTAGCGAAAAGTGGCCTATTTGTGCAGGATTATCTCAGGCACGATGAGAGTTGGAGAGCCCAGATGCTGTAGTTATATAGAGGTCTGCTGGAGGTGTTATGGGGACCATTCATGTTTTTCAAGGAGCACCTGCAAAAAAAATTTCCCAGAAAGTTTGAAAAATCGGCCATTTTTTGCCCCTAAAAATGCACCATTTTTCGAGTAAGTGAGTTTGAAATCTTTTAGTTCTGCACAGAAAGGACCAAATCTCTGGTTACTGGAAACATTGTTGGGGTAATGCCTTGCACATGTTTTGGACCCATTATTCAGGCGTGGCGATCCCCGCAGAAGCGACGCCAGCTGCGAAAAGAGTTGCAGTCAGAAGCAAGTTCGACAGCTTGTAATTTCTGAGCGTAAATCGCAAAACTCGAGTGCAGCTGCGGATCGGAAGTTAACAGGCTTCTCAATCAAATCACCCATTATTTGGACCAAATTCTTTGAATTGCACAAAAAAAAATAGCCGTAGGAAGAAAAATTGTGAAATTTTTGTGGTAGGAAAGAATTCTCTTCTTGACGTGCAGATCGAACACGTCTTGGCATCGATGAAAGTCAGAAGGCTTTTTGGAAACTTCAGGCTTCCCTCTACTGAACAATATAAAAAACTTGGTGTCAAAGTCCAACCGAGCGGCGAAAAAATGTGTTTGAAAATGAAACTTCCAAAAGTGCCCGAGAACTTTCTTTACAACCTAATAAAAAGTAAAAAGACTCAGCTGCCCGAAAAATCGAGAAAAATCGCAACTCGGTTCACAAAAATCCTATTAAAATTCTTACTTGCTCATGTAAACAGTATCCACGACATCTATATACGCCTTCGCCGTATTTTTCCCTCTATTAGAAACCAAGAAAACGGAAATTTTCGTGCATTTGCCAGAGTGATGCTGTGCCGTCTCCACATAGGTAGTTGTATACTACATGCCTGTAGATATAGATATACAGTGTTGGACATAATTATACAGCCACTCTAGAAATCGTCGTAATTTTTGTTCTTGTCAATGAATCTGTCTGAAACTTTGCTGTATTGTGCGCATGTCAACCTACCATGACCCCTCAAAACGGCTTCCAGTCTTGTTGAGTTTGAACGGAGGAAAACGAAAAAAATCGAAAAAGTCCTCTTTGAAAGCTGGACAAAATTATACAGCCACCCGGTTTTTCTAATCACTATCGCATTCGTTAACTCTCAAATTCTTTTGTACAATTACATCCCAAAATATGAAACATTTGCAACATCTGCGACCTGTTCTCCTTTTCACAGAAGAAAGTTCACTGCATTTTTTGCTTTCAATAGCAACAAAAGTCAATTTGCTATAACGAACAACTGGTTTAAAGAGTTTTCAAACTCTTGTTCTTTTCAAATGATGGCCATGGAATCTACTGACCTTTCTGAATAGATGAGGTGAAGAGCGCTTTCGTAAACTCTGCGTAATCGTTAATTTTGACGGACAGACTCCAACCTCAACATAGGCTTGGAACGCTTTTAAACCACAAAACTCAGTTTGCAATGTCCACAAAAAGCTGAACTTGATTTATCACATTGTCTACATGGGGATACAGCTTTCGCAACAACTTTCAGATTTTTCCTAATGATGCGGTAGCGATTTAGACCTGGAATACTTTCCACAAAAATTCCCTGCGAGCGGAAGATTCGATATAACCCTAGATCTCCTTATTTCCGTCTGTGTTTCATGTCATATTTCACCCGATGAATGAGATTAGCTAAGATTTTAAAGTTTTAAGCGTCTCCGGTTTTATCTCGTGATCTGAGTTGGCTTTGATTGTACAGGGTGCTCCACTCAACATTCAGTGAATGTCAGCTGCGGCTGAATCAGAGTGCTCAGTCCCGAAATTTCTTCCCAGTCATGCACACGAGTTCACTGTTGTATGGCTGTCGTAATGGCTACATTACAGTATTTTCTGTCGCTTGAAAATCGAGTTTCGTGGTGCAAAAGTGCGTCAACCCTATGGTGAGGTTGGAGTCTGTTCGTCAAAATCAGCGATTACGCAGAGTTTACGAAAGCGCTCTTCACCTCATCTATTCAGAAAGGTCAGTAGATTCCATGGCCATCATTTGAAAAGAACAAGAGCTTGAAAACTCTTTAAACCAGTTGTTCGTTAAAGCAAATTGACTTTTGTTGCTTTTGAAAGCAAAAAATGCAGTGAACTTTCTTCTGTGAAAAGGAGAACAGGTCGCAGATGTTGCAAATGTTTCATATTTTGGGATGTAATTGTACAAAAAAATTTGAGAGTCAATGAATGCGATAGTGATTAGAAAAACCAGGTGGCTGTATAATTTCGTCCAGCTTTCAAAGAGGGCTTTTTCTATTTTTTTCGTTTTTCTCCGTTCAAACTCTCAACAAGACTGGAAGCCGTTTTGAGGGATTATGGTAGGTTGACATGCGCACAATACAGCAGAGTTTCAGACAGATTCATTGACAAGAACAAAAATTACGACGATTTCTAGAGTGGCTGTATAATTATGTCCAGCACTGTAGCATAACAAAGTCGCATTGCACCTCTAACATAAAGGTATGTGGACCAAAAAACGAACTATTATAGTATAAGGTCAAACATGCTGCTCCGCAGGTCCTTCAAGTTAGCTGGTTTGAAATCAGATTTTCTTCTTTAACCCAGAAAAGAGCGTTTCGCCTATAGTTCAAGCAGGATCAAAGCTGCAAAGATAATGATGGTACTACAACTCTATAAAAAAGTCTTGCCTTAAAACAAGTTTCGTGCAACTCATGATGGCAGGGCATCTGAGGCGAAAAGACCTGCAAGGGGATGTAGTCATTTCATGGAAATGTCATCTCATATCAGAAAAGAGTAGGCTAAACTAGAGAACCGCCCTACAGTTCTCCTAAATTGCAGAGTCGTTTGCACCAGCGGTCGCGCGACCGCGTCGCGCCCGGGCATTTTACCGGCGCCGGCGCTATCGATCGAGGCGGCGCCAATGTGCCAGGGCGCGACGCGGTTGCGCCACCGCTGGTGCAAACGACTCTGCAATTTAGGAGCCCTGTACACTTTGAAAATGAATAATGTGGTCACTTGCAGAATTGCATTCACGCCTGACCACAAGTAATAGTTGCATTCGCCAATACGATGGACAGGAAGTCGAGCAACAGCATAGAAATGCATCATACAATCCGTTCTGAAATAAAAACTTTCTGTTTTAATGCCTTCAACATTCTTCTTGAGCGCAAATAATGATGTGGAAATGAAAGGCAGAAATCGTACTTAAAACCACGCAGTTATCCAAGGTGCCACCTAGAGAACAACTCCCTCAAAACTCAAAAAACAATGCATTTTGAAAAAACGCTTTTTACATTCAGAATGTTTCACTATCAAGCTAGCAAAAGCTTTGAGTTATATTCCTCAGCTCACCTTCATTTTGAGCAGACTTCCACAAAGGCAGTCGACAGCACATTGAACCTATAACAGATATAAGATGTGGTCAAGAGATTTAGACTAGAACCTGCATTACGTTCTCTCAAAAAAGGTGTATGCTGCAGAACACAATGAAGCAAATTGGTTCTGCGTCAAACGCCTGCTGAAATCTTAGGTGTTTTGGAGACCGGAATAAGGGCTTCTTGATAGAACAAGCAATAAAACTATTTTCGCGCATTCATAAAACTGAAAGCACGGCCAACTCTCATTGATAGGGTAAATTCTTACACTTAACGATGTCCTGCAACTGTGTGGGGTGAAGTTCCACTATGCACACACTGCTGCGGAATGATTACATGAAAAGATAATATGATGCTTCAAAGGGCCAATTTGCTGTAGGGGAAAGAAAACTTTGTAGGAATTAAACTCACCATGAACAGGCACGACAGCTTATATGGAGGCCCGCTCATGGCAACAGTGTAGAAGGTTCTCTTGGAAAACTGTTACGTCGGACTTGTCGGACTTTACTCCACCATCCCTGAATGGATCCCTAAATGGCAGCAATGGTCGAAGAGAAAGAAACGAAAACAAACACGGAAGCAAGAATCCAAAAGTTGTTGCATCAACAATCAAGGCATTCAAATTATCCACCTTGCCGCGTTCAGTCGCAAGTCAATTCATATATAAGTCCTTTGAACCTGATTCGTCTCCTTAATTTGTGTAATTGTTGCTGAAAGCGCAACCACTAGCGAAAGATTAGGTTTTCGTTGACTCCTAATTTTCTTGTTCGGTAGTTATTTGATCTGGGATTACTAATATGTGCAGATGAAGGCAGTGCTTTGTACTGAGTGCAAAAGGAGGTGGCCAACTAACCTTTGAAATTGAGTTAATCATGCTTGAAAATGACCATCTCAATTGGGTGCTTCAACATTAGGAACCCTCACATTTCCCTAAAACTTGATCCACAAGGGTTATTTGACGTGCATTATAAAAATTATGCTCATTTTGTTTGATAGGTTTCTCTTACGTATTGTTCCTACATGATGGTAGTTCAACACCTCAGTGTGCTTGTATTTTGCTGACCTTATTGCTGACCTTGACCTTATTCATTCGACTTTTGATTACGAATATCTTATCGCTTACATCAGTATCAAGTCATTACGACCCCCTCGCTCTCTGGCCCCTCAGTACGACCCCCAAGTGTGGCGTGCCACACCACACCCCACGCTTGACCCCTGGTGATCATCATCTATTTTATTCCGTACCTTTGAGAAAAAATCCTATTTATGAAAAATAGCGCAATATGACATAGCACGTTTTCGGTTATAATCTACTATAAAATAAAGTTTTTTGTAAAGTTTAAGATCACAGTTATTGGATTTGATAGCAGAACAACCGGTTTATGCCGCATGCTGAAATTGGGGGCACATTTGCAAGAGGAAAAATGATAATTGACTCCAACGTAATTCAAAACTTGTTTTAACAACTGAGTTAGAGCAGATCCTCATTTAGAAGACATACACAAAGAAAAATGCCTTAGATTCAGAAAAGGCTGCACTTTTACAAACAAAATCAATTTAAAAGCCATATGGCCGTAGCACGCATTCAACGTTCTCGGATTTCTATCCGCTCTTCTCGATGAAGTAAATTTGAATATGCAGTTGCAATGGCGGTGTTAGTGCAGAGTTTTCTGTATATTGTATACATGAAGTTTTACCTAAATGTGTTCGAAATGAATTCTCCAAAAACATAAAGTTGTCACAAAGCGTATTTTCGATTTTTTTACGACCCACAATTTGCAGAACAAAGGTTCATAAACTATCTCAATGGCATTTGATGCATGGATTTGAATGAGGACCCTTTGCTGAGAATTCGATCAGCGCAAAATGTGAATAACTGCTTGTAAAAAGTAAGTTCGCACATCTCTTACCTCCAGCGATTGGCTGTGCTTTCGCCAAAAATGTAGTGTTTTGACATGTCACGCTCATTACCCTGTCATATTATGACGAGAGCAACGATATACAGATTACCGCTTTACTATAAAAATCAGGAGTGGTATTCATCAATCTCCTGTACATCCCCTCATGCCTGCTCGAGCAACTACTGTACAGAGCAGCATGACAGCAGCGCGAGCGGGCGCATAATAGAAACGCCTACTAGCGCAAACTTTGCATATAGCAAACATATGAGAACCCATCGTTTTTTACTGTTTTTCTCTCCTTTCTTAAGCACAGTTTTTGCACCTATATGCACTTTTGTAATCAAGTCAACAATGGTAGAGTAAGATAGAGGAATTAGGGTCATTTTTCCTAGAAAGTGCTGAAAACTACTACTTGTTCTAAATATCAGTAATTCGTCGATATTTTATATTTTAGGGCACTTCATAACAATGGAATAACGTAGAAATGCAAAAGTATTAAAAAATCTTATTTTTGCTTAATGAACTTAGCACATATGACTTAGAATGGAAGGCTTGATTGAACCACACTAATTGTCAGAAATTCCCATCATATCAGTCAGTCTGGACCTTTCCTAGGACACTGAATTTTAAGAGCCCGATCTGGCAAGTTTGGCCATGTTGGGCAACAGGCCCGATTTCGACAGATCAGGTTCTGCTGCCCGTTCAGACCAGCCTCATAAGAATCACGGTCTCGCCAACCAGGGCCGTGTATAAAGATGAAACCATAGGTGCGATAGGGGGAGCAGGGCTCTCCCCAGGTGAAGGGGATCTCGGCTGTTCCCGACCTTCCAGGGTGAAGGGGGTATGTGAGTCTAGGGGGGGGGGAGGAAGACAGAAAAGTTAAAAAAGCGTGGTATGAAAAGCTCTAATTTGTACCTTATTTAGGCACAAATTGAAAAAATTTACAAATTTTCAAAAGAAATTAAAAAATTTTAAAAAATTTGATTATGAAGATCTGTGCTCCTGTTTCACTGCATCAACAAAAAACGAAAGCAATAAGGTTTATCCCAAAAGATGTACAAGTTAGGAACAACTTCATTTCCTGCACATCATCATCAACAATATCACTATCGCTAACGTCAGAGACAACAAGTTCGCTGCCTGAAAAATCTTCTTCTTCTTCCAAAAGGTCATCGGAGTAGAAGTAGAATTGCGTGCAAAAGCGTTCTGAGTCGAAAATGGATTTAAAACTTTCTTCTTCTTCTAAGCGCTTTTGTGATTTTTTTCCTGGCCCTCTGGTAGCACCAGGAAGTTAGCAGGTAGGTGACCAGTTTCTTCATAGCATCTTTTAGGATATTTCAAAAAGTCATACGGTAACAGCCTGTCTGGACCACTTATACCAATTTTTTTAAATGAAGTTTTTGGATAACAATGTGTTTAGTAGAAGGTTGACAAATCTTAAGTATTAGCTTAGATGCTCTATCGTTGTACGACTTCTGCGTTGTGTTCTGATAACAGAGTAAATAGAAAATTTCTTTCTCCACCTCTGCCGTGCTAGTCGGAATTGAAACTAGCTTTGCTAGTAAGTCCAACAGATTTTTGCGGTAAGTAATGGGAAAAGAGCCAGATCGCATATGCTTTCGCAACACGGAAAGGAAATAGTGCATACTTTTTGGGCCTCGTCGAACTCTGGCTTCACCTCCTCTGGCATACGTCCTGTTAGCTGATGAGAAAGCTGCTGAACTTCTTCTTTAACAGCATCTGCGGAATAGCCGAAAAAAAGGAGGTACTATGCTGCGCGTTGGTTTTTTTTCATATCATAGGTCATAATGTCACAAGGCGAATAACTTCCAAAAGCATAAAGCACAGAGTTGGGTCGCACTCCAGCCGGGATCTAAGTGCAGTAACTATGCTTTGTACTAACACCTTCCTTTTGTTCATATCCATGTTTGTGAATTCAGCAGCCTTGAATTTTTCAGCAACCTGAAGATCAGCAATGGACTTCCTGGACATTTCCTCATTGAAACTAGACAATCTGCTTGGATTCCTTATGCAGGAAATCAGAGAGTTTTGCTCAATTGTCAACTCTGTATCAATACAACTTTTTCGTCGGCTCAAGGTTCTCCTTCTGCCTCGCTGTTGAACTGGAACACATGCGAGTCATCTGCGATTTTGTAAAGTATTCTGCCTGCCGTTTCCTCTTCAAACTGTCAACCTTTCCAAAACATTGAGGGATATTTTAATAACATGTTATTCTTCTGAATGCCTTAGAGTTTTTAATTCATTGAAACCAACCATTCTCTACAAATCAGGTAAGGTGAGTCTAGAGCGTTTTCACGAAAGTGACCTTCTTCAGCACTAGGTTTACAGAGTATTTCCAGAAATGGGTGGGTTTTTGTGTGAAGGTGTGGAATTTCACCAATCTCCCATAGTTTTTTGTGCTAATAATGATGGCATAACTGTCAATCAAAAGCGCATTTTTTACCAAAAAAACATAAACATATAACAACGATAAGCACTCTCAAATAGACGCGTTCGCTCACGTTCCTTAGTGCTGATAACGATGTCAATCCACAGCACATTTTTTACTACTAACTTGCTCCACCTCGCTCTTATTAGGTCGTCCAGAAAGTTTTTGCGCATGAATTTCAAAGTTCATAACTTCTGATTTTTCCAACCGATTTGACTGCTTTTACTTTTATGTGAAAGGGTTAAGACATGCTTTTTATAATGACATCTCAGCTGCTTAGTAATGGGCATCTGTTGCATAGATAGGAGCGATAGAAGAAAAATGGTAAAAATTTTAATTCTTTGTGTAGGGTCATAAGCAATCGGAGACTTGCAACAAAAATCGGAGCAGTCAGTA